CCTTAGGCCTGGCTTGCCCAGGCCCACCTGGGCACAGGCCTGAAAATCCACAAAGTTTCCTGCGTGCACCCACTGCCTGTGGCTGTGGGGCACACAGCCTTACGTTGTCAAAGAGCGGCTGGAGCGCCTCGGCCAACTGCAAGGCGGTGGGGCTGGATACTCGGATGTGGTCGTCCGAGAACAGAAAGCCGAGTAAAGTGACGGCATTCCTGACCACCTTTTCGTCTTCATCCCTCAGGAGCAGCACGAGGCTTTCGGTCAGGCTGCCCATTCTTTTGGCCTGTGAGGAACACAGTGCTGTGCTGTGAAGCCAGCAAGGGCTGCAGAGCCAACCCCGCTCAGGCGGGGCAGCCCCACGTGCTGCCGCGGGGCCCAGAGACCAAAGGCCTGTCCTGGAGGCCTGGGGCAGCTGAGGGGGGAGGCAGCAGAGCTGGCAGCAGCTGCCACAGCTCCCAAAGCCCAGCCAAGCCCCAGCCACTGCTCTCCTCAGCCCCAGGATTCCAGCGTGGCTTCAGCCAACTGCCCCCTCCTCACCGTCACAGGATCCTTGCTCAGAACCACCAGGCCTCTGAGCACTTGGTGACGAATCTCAGGGCACTCGCTCCACAGGTGCCTTGAAAGGATCTGCAGGATGGCTTCGCCACATTCAGTCACGTCCAGGTAGACCAGCACCTGAAAGGCACGCAGCAGTGACGGGGTGCCCGGCTGGCAGGAGCCCAGGCCTGCCCAGGGCCGGGCCCAGGCAGCAGCACAGGGCGCGGCACCGTCCCAGGCAGCCCTGGCCAAAAGCAGCGGTGGCTCTGCAGAGCCTCTGGGCTCTCTGCCCTGCGCAGGCCACTCGCCCACTCCTCTGTGCCACCCAGCCCTCGGCAGCCTTGGTCAGATTCCTGGGCCTTGAGGAGCCCTGAGGGAAGTGCCAGTGCTGGCAGCACAGGGACCCAACACTCATCTGGGCACAAGTGTCACCCCAGCAGCCAGGGGCCAAGGGCACACGGTGGAGAGCCCTTCTTCCCCGGCTCCATTCCCTGGGCTTCCCCCGCGGATGCGGCCGCAGAAGGACAGACAGGTGGAGGCAGCTGGGCCAGGCAGCGCTCGCCATCAGGCTCACTTCCACAAGGAATGTCATGGCAGGGAGGTGCCAGGGGCACATCTCTTCGCTGAGCAGCTCCAGGAGGCAGCATACAATGCCGCAACACAAGGGTGTGCAGGCACAGCCCATCTCCCTGGCAGGGGGAAACAGGCACCGTCAACCTTGAGCTGGCTGGGCAAACCTCTCCCAGGACTCGCTCACAGAAGGGACGGGGCAGCCGGGAAGAGGGGGTCTCACCTGGCCAGCAGACCCACCGCGTAGTGGTGGGTGTCAGCGTGGAGGAGCGTGTCCCAGCCTCGCTTGCGTTCCATGGCCATCAGCACAGTCTCGCACCGCAGACGGCTCAGCAGGGCTTTGATGGTCAGCACTGCAAGCCTGTGTGCAGAGCAAAGCCTGGGTCACTGCTGAGAGCCCCGGCCCCAGCCCCGAGGGCACGGCAGGCACAGCAGGACTGGGATGGAGCACCTGTTGGGGTTGGCGGGAAGGCTGCCTTGCTTCCGGCATTCCCTCCAGAAGGTGTCAACCTCCTCCAGCATATGCTCTGTGCTGAAGGACACTTGGAAGAGCAGATGCACAAAGAGCTGGGGGAAAC